TGTTGAAGCATTATTACAACATGGTATTGTTTTATCTGAATTAAATAGACATAATGTAGCTATTGAAGATTATAAAAAAGCTTTAACACTCAGTATTAAACCATCACAACAGTCAGATATTTGTTTTCGATATGGTCTTAGTGAATATGCTTTAAATAATAAAGAACAAGCATTTTATTGGTTATCACGTGCTATTACATTTCATCCTTATCATGCTCAAGCATATTATCATTTAGCTATGATACAAACAGAAAAAGGACAATATAAAGAAGCTTTTAAATTAATAAATCGTGCATATGAATTATCTCCTCAACAAAGTGATATTCTATTTCAACGAGCTACTATTAATGAACATCTTGGTAAACTTAATAATGCTGCACATGATCGAAAACGTGCAATACAACTTAATAAATCTGATATATCTATAATAACAATGCTTGCAAAACGTATAAAAATCTTACGTGAAGAAATTAAAAATAAAGATTCATCACCACGTACTCATCTTGAATTAGCTATGGCATTTGATGGATTAATTAATCGAAAGAAAAATTTAAAAACAAAATTAATAAATTATGAACAAGCTATTCTTGAATATTGTGCTACAATTGAAATTGATACAAAAAATTTATATCCACAAGCACATGCACTTATGATACTTTGTCATTTAAAAATGAATAATTTTATACAAGCACATGAATTACATTTAAAATTTTATAATATATTATCTAAATATAAAGATGCTGTATATCATTGGAAAACATATCTTTTAGATATAAAAAATAAAATGGAATTAGATAAACTTGAACCATATTTAGATTCAAATTCTGTTAGTAAATTAATTCGTATGGAAACAAATCGAAGAAAACAAAATATTGATGAAGAAACATTACAAAATGATACTGAAGATAAATATAAAAATCAATTAATATTCTATCAACGATTACGTATTGATCTATCAAATATACTTGTAGCTATAGCTATATTAAATCTTGATCGTAATACAATTCTTAATAATGTTGAAGATACATCAAATAAGTAAGTCAAAGATTTTGTATGTTTTTAAGAGAAAAATTATAAGCATACAATGTATCGAGCTATTTTAATACTATACAGAGTAGAGATGGAAAAAAAATTGCTTTGTGCTACTGCTCACATCTATGTAGTGTGAGCTTCGAGAAGCACATGTTCACAGCTTTCCGATGTTTCGGTGAACTTAGAGAAAATGATTGAGAATGAAAAATCAGAGAAATTCAAATTGAATTATGTTAGAAAAATTTTTATTTTTCGATTAATTAGTAAACAAATATTTAAGTCAAACTTTTTTTAGTACAACTTCATATATTCGATATAGTTTTATAAATTGTTCTCATAATATTATATCTTATTTAGAGTTATTAAAATTATACAATTATTAGGTGAAAATAAAACATCTATTCCTGAAATTGAATTTATATTAAATAATGATGGTAAAATCAATACAAAAATACTTCAAAATATTGATTATGATATTATTAAAATGAAATTAAAATCCATTGGAAATATTGGTGATATAACTGATCAATTAGATGTTGCACAACTTGTTGCTCGACATTTATGTACACGTTATCGTTCACAACTTATTTGTCTTAAACTTAATAATGATAATATTATCTATGATAAACCTGTTACAAATATACCACCATCTTCATCATGGTGCTGTTCTAGTAATCATCGTATAGTTTCTGCTAAACAACAACAACAACAACAACAACAACCAATATTATCTTCGTATGAAAATGATACATTCAAGAAAATTGTTACATTTGCCATGGCATTTATTATTAAAACATTAAATAGTGAAACAGTTAAAGTTTCATTAAAGGAAAAATCTTCAAGAAAAGATGCATTAGCAACAACTTTAGTTTTAATTGTATGTCGTGCATATTTAAATATAGATACAAATCATTATTTAACATTGGATTTTAAACATATAAATTTACCTATCGATTTAACATTAATTACTAAGGTATAAAAATGATTTAAAAAAAAAAAAAAAAATTTCTAAATTGTTTCTTTTTTCTCTTAATTATTTGTTAGATGTTAGAAGATTCACAACAAACAATTAATAAAGAAAATATATCATCTATAAAATGGAATTTATATGAATTTTTTCGAGCACCTGGTATCTATTATCATTCGGATGGTGATATTGGACCAATTCTTTATTATGGTACAAATTCATTAATGATACCAGATATATATGGTTATCGATTAGGAACATTAGAAGAAGTTAATGTAATCAAAAAATTAAATCAAGAAAATAAATAATTTTTTTTTTTGTAATATTAAAAAAAAAAACAAATAATGTATTGTGTTTTCGTTTTTTTTTTCTTACGAATTTAACCGTAAAATTTGTGTATAAGTATTAGTTAGTTGTGAGATTTGTTCATAGTTATATATTAAGTGAAAAACTTTCTATGACAAGCTGAATATTGAAAATATCTTAGTTAGATTAAACAACAATAAAAATAATATTGTTTCTATAGGATTATTTCAAAGAAAAAACAAAAAACTGTTAGTATATAATTCCGGCGGTATTAAAATGTAATATTCTTTTATCTAACGAAATTTTCATTTTCATACATTCTTTTATTCTATGAAATTCGAATAAAAAAAAAGAAAAACGAGGTAAGCCTATTGTTGTTAGCTTTTATGTCTTCATTAATCACATGAACGATTGAAAAATAAAAAAACAATTTTCTCTTTGTTTTTTTGTTTATTGTTTCAATAACAAAAATATGTAAATTTTTTATGTATCCATACATTGATGGAATCTAAGCATAATGAAATTATGACCAAAAAAAAAATATTTCTTCTGTTCTCTTTCTCGTTATGAAATATATCTAGTAGTAACTTAGTAGTTTTCATTCATTTGAGTTTATTCAAAACAATGAAAGTCCATCAACATCATCGAATTTACTTAAAAGTAAGAAAAAAAAATCAAGTATGAAAAAGACAATGAACTTCAAGTTTATATTAAAAAAAAAAAACAAAGATCCAATTGGTCTCGATTACATATGTTGTCTCTTCAGATTGAAATATACTATTTAACTTCAGTCATAGTTATACAGTACGTTTGATAATTTTTCAAAGATAGAACAAATCATACAATGTAAAAGAAAATGAAAATCAAGCCATTAAAAAAAAATATTCGTTGCTTACAACGAATGATATTTTTTACTAATGATTAAATGATCATAGAGATATGAGTGATGCTTGTATGAACTTTGAGACAGTATCAATGATGACCATATAAAATCTACACTTCTTCTACTCTGGCTGAGTCCATGGCGAAATTTCATTTTACTAAAGCAGTTCAATATGATAAGGATGCCTCACATTTAGCAAATAAGGAATGCAAATTCGATTTTTTCGAAAATTCTCATTACATTATGGCATTATTTTATTAATTTTAGATTAAAAATCTTTAATCTTACATAGACTTATTATTAACCTATTGATATGGCAACTAATAAAAGTATTACTGTCGAAGAATTAACTACCTGTACGATTTGTCGAGAATCTTTCAAAGATCCACGTCTATTACCTTGTTCGCATACTTATTGTAGACAATGCATTGAACGTATGGCTTCTGAGAATAAAGATCAATTTGAATGTCCACTACGAGATGGATTTGTGACAATGAAAAAAAATATCCGCTCATTACCTCTTAACAAAGCAATACGTGATTTAGTAGAATTACACGGTAAGCAAAATAGTTTATAATATTATTTTGAATCGACATCATGCTCTTTTCCTACAAGATAGAAGCATTTCCTATACAATATATACATAGTTTTTCATATGTTATTATTTTCTAATCATATTAAGTTTTTAGCTTCAATCGAAGAATTAAATCGATGCACTAATTGTCGTATGGTCAAGGCTAAATATGCATGTAACAAATGTGAAAATGAAAACTTTTGTTCATCATGTTATGAAACTGTTCATACACCTCCAGTCATGCAAAAACATCAACGTCTTTCCAAGGATGAAAAACCACCAGAAGCTATTCCATGTATAATACATCCAAAAAAATCATTGGAATATTGGTGTCTTATATGTTCAAAACTTATATGTATTGATTGTCTATTATTTCAACATAAAGATCACAATTATATTTTGTTAGATGATGCCATACAAGGATTCAAAACTAAGGTTAGCATAAGTTCTATAGAATATAAGAAAGTATAATATTGTATTTGTTTTATGATATAGATAAATATTAATTTACAAAGTATTCAATCATCTTTACATTATAAAATTAATCAAGCAGATATATTATTAAATATAATTGATAATAATAGTAAATCTAGTCGACAAAAAATGATTGAAACTATGGCAGAAATACGTCGAATTATTGATGAACATGAAAAAGATATGTTACAAAATATTTTAAATACTGAAAAAGAACAAAAAAAACGAATTGAAGATTATAAAATTCCCTTGACGAATGAATTGCAACGTTTGAATATGCAAAAAATATTTTTTGAAATGTTTTCATCAATCAAAAATCATACAAAACTATTAGAAGCCAAAGAAGGTTTTGATGATTATGTGAATGAAACAAATGAAAAATTAAAATTATTACCGATGCCAACTATAACTGAGTATTTTTTAGAAGGAATCCATAAATTTCCTAGTTTAAAAGAAAAAATTCTTCAATGTGGAAGATATGTTGAAGTTCTACGATATCATAATCCGCAACTTGAAGAATTTATTACTGATAACCGAACAAATCCAGAACTTGATTTAAAGCTTAGACGTTTGACCGATGCTGATATGAAGATTGTTGCTAATGCGTTACGAAAAAGCACGGTACAAAAACATTTCATTAAAGTTATTGCGTTTCGTGAATAGTTTGGAAATAAGAACCGTGATGAAAATAGAAATGCGGACTGTGAGAACGATTAAAAGATATATATTATTGCGTATGCAAATAATTGCAAACAGTTTATGATAGAATTCATGTTATTTTCTAAGGCTACTAAAATTTTCATTAACGAGTCAAAGTAAATCTGATCAGTATTTTATTCTTGACTTACGGAAAAAAGAAAGTCGATTCAACTAATTTATTAGTACAAAGAAGTCCAAGACACAATTATCCATTTAAACATCAATAATAGATAGATAGATCTACATTTCGACGTAAATTGATAACTTCTGTTTTATTCGTTTTCAGTTAATACTAGTTTCCAATATCATGAATATTAAAAATTTTTTGACAATTTTTATAGTTTTTTTTTATTGATGTTCATCAGTGATTCAATAATATGGATATAGGAGATCTTTCTTTATTTCACAGTAATGAAGTTAATTAATCCAGGTAGAATAGAGCCCATCAGGTAAGAAACATAATCACAAAAATTCGAGATTTCTATAGTCTTTTCATAGGAAAACTTTTTCTTGGAGATAAATTAAGTCATATCTTGGTTGAGAAAGTATAGATTTACTAGTAAGATATAGCCATATCTTTAACATTCTACCAGAATCTGCTAGATCTTACTTTCTCTATGTGTATTTCTGCTCTTACTCTTGTCCGATAGATGCTCTCTATGTATGTATGCTATCATCCTCACTCTCATCGTCTTCTTTTTCTTTCACTTCACACAGACACTCACTTTACTTGACGTCAGTCAAAATCTAATCAATCAACAAGGAGCTCAGTATATTGCAGCAGCTCTAAGAAATGACCAAGTAATTGCTTTCTTTCTTATTATCACCACAGAATTCTTTTTTCATTTCATACAGATACTCACCAAACTCGCCCTTGACGAAAATCAAATCGGACAATATGGAGCTCAACATATTGCTGAAGCTCTAAAAGCTAATGAAGTAATTGTTCTTTTTGTATAACTATCATACATGCCTTTTCTTATTTTTATGCAGACACTCACTGAATTATATCTTGCAAACAATCAAATCGGACCAAAGGGAGCTGAATATATTGCTGAAACTCTAAAAACTAACAAAGTAACTATTCTCTTCTTATTACTATCAGCTTACTACTTTTCTAAATTCACGCAGACACTCTATTTACTCAGTTTCAACGGAAATCAGATTGGCTATCAAGGAGCTCAACATATTGCTGAAGCTCTAAAAACCAACAAAGTAATTATTCTCTCTCTATTATCATTATATATTTCTCTCATTTAACAAAGACACTCATTAAACTCGGCCTAAACGAAAACCAAATAGGACAACAAGGAGCTCAATATATCGCCGAATCACTTAAAATTAACAGAGTAACTATTCATTTTCTATTACTACCGTATAGTTCTTCTCTCATTTCACATAGACACTCACAAAACTTGGTCTCAATGACAACCAAATTGGACAAAAAGGAGTACAACATATCATTGAAGCTCTAAAAACTAACAAAGTAACTATTTACGTTCTATTATCATGCGAGTCTTCTTCTCTCTTAATTCATATAGACACTCATTGCACTCCATCTCGAACGAAATGAGATCGGAGAAGAAATTATTCAGGCAGCACGAAAGTCTTTGATGTTGAATACAAGGCTGATGTTGTATTGGTGATATCTAACGGAATAGATGATGATTTTTAAAGCATAATTAATATTTATCTTGATTTGATAAGAATGCAAAAGACTGTTTGATGCACGTTGGCAATTCAGACTATTCTATTGACAAGAAAATAGCAGAGACTTGGACTGTAAATCTCGTCAAATGAAGAAATTTTTTAAAGTCTGACTAAATTTTTCGTAACTTTTGGAATGTAATTAGTTTATGAAAAGTTCACAATGAAAAAAAATCAAACTGTTAGATTTTTAATGATATTATTTTAGCAGAAATGAGAACTTTTATAACTTTATAAATCTATCTGGAAAAAGTTTGAACTAATCTGAATTTAAACATTCTAATTATTCATTGAAGTCTTTATTTTGATAAAGTTGTTTATTTCTATAGTAAGCTGTTTCAATAATAAATACATCGTCTAAAAGATTGTAACTAGATATCTATTGTGATTTGATACACAACTTTTTTCTTTTCATCTATATTATTCAACACTCGTTATATATAATGAAAATATAGTACTTTTAATTGATCATATAATCTGCTAAATATAAGTAACGCTTCTTCATTCTTAAACGTATGCATGCAGCGTAGAAAAGCCCCAGTAATATCAATGATAGATGAATATTTCACTGTAATGTAGTAGTTTCCATCAATGACTACAATTCATTTGATATCACATAAGAATATTGAATTTTTATAAATTCACTATTTCTTACTTTGCTTATAATTTCATTCTAGTTCACTTCTTTTTCTTCGTCATGATTGATTTATTACTGCATGAAAAAATATGTAATATTTCAAACATATGATTTCCTAAATCTAAAATCATATTAACATATTGCGCAAATGTAAAACCTAATATTTCAATGAATACATTAAACTTGACCTATGCAAAATAAGGTTCTTTTAACATATTTTTCGTAATTTGTACTTTCAATGCTGCATTTACAAGTATAAATTTAAGCAACACAATTTTATTTCAATCAAATCATTTGTACAAGCAATCATATAACCATAAGAAAAGTAAGCACAATATAAAAATTACTTACTACTTCATTCTTCCAATTATTAAGAATGAAATTCATCACAATTGTTTTCATCTGCTTGATCGTTGCTGTAGCATTGATCCCAGGTAAGCTTCTCACTTTCGTTATACAGTAAACAACGTAGAAAATAAGTAATGCTCATGTTTGTTTCATTGAAATAGATTTAGTATTTGGTGGTCCAGCTAAAAAGTATCGTCTAGGTAAAGATTTATCTAGTGAAGAAGGTAGTAATTCTGATGAAGTTACAACAAGTCCAAATGAAATAGCTGTTGGTCGTAGTTTCACATGCAATTCAATGACTGGTGACTTTTTGTGCGCTGGATGGCCTGGAGCATGGAGATGCCAATGTGGTTCAGCCTGTTACAATAACGTTTGTACATGCAACCGTTGTATTTAAAGAGAAATGGATGAGTCTTCTGCTTTAGACAGAATGACATCATGATGTTTCTCAATTTTTAATAAACAATCCTATTTAATCATTAAGCCCTAATGCTTTTTCTTGCTATTGATTATCAACAATAAACACATAAATTTCTTTGAATCTGATTGAAAGCTTTGTTCTATTTGATTGCATTGATTAGAACTGATAGTATGAAATGGTTCTGTGACGTATTCTAATGTGCGCTTGACATGATCTAGACAATGTTATCAATATCAGCAGTAGCTCATCAAGATGTTTTTAGTAAAACATAATTGAAACTATAAACATAGACCTTTTTTCATTTCAACAGAATAGAGCTTTGATTTAACACACATAAGAAATCTCAATGAAAACTGTGATTTCTTTCGAAAATAAAAAACATAAGACTAACTGTGTAAAGATTTTAGGTTGTGTGAGAATTCTGTCTCTCATCTGTATGCAGACAATGAAAGATGTTTAACTCTCTGAAGTCAAATATTTCAGGGTTTTATCACGACTGTGACAGCAAAAGTATCCATATCACGAGTCACAGCATCTGCCAAGATTCTAACGAAAGACTCATTCGTAGATTTAGTAGCATGTTGGTTTTGAGTCTCGTTATGGTCGGTCATGTACCCAGGTCGAATTCACCCTGTCGAATCCGATAGAAATTCGCCGGAATTTGTCGGAATCCTAACCACAGGATTCCGACAAGTGGTTCTGGATGTCGGAAAGTGTCGGAGTTTCAGGGATTTCGCAGGATCCTGATTATTCCGACACCCGGAACCTCCTGTCGGAATCCTGTGGCTAGGACGCCGACAACTTCCGACGAGTTCGCGTCGGATCCGTTAAAATCCGGTAATTTTTCCGATATAATCCGATATAATCCGGCGTAATCCGACAGTCGGATCGAATCACCTGGGTACATAATGAGGTTTGTTACGATGATTAAAGTAGCTTCGCCATGCTTAATATTTTAATTTTGATCCTTAAATTATATTAAGCCAATTTTCATGATGATTCACATTATAGAAATATTATAATCTAAGCTCTTTCATAGAAATAGTCATTGTTATCAATAAGACTGGCTTCATTTGCTAAAAGAAACACTTACATGCTCAACTATTGAGAGAAAAACATGCAAAAACTCGAAAAAAAAAATATACTCCTCGATAACGAACAAATTGTGTCTACTAGCAGATGAGTAATGATCTATCGAATCGGGTGACTATGGCTGATTCTACGTGGTAACATACAAAGAATTCTCATGCTTTAGGATTCTAATAAGATTAAGATATCAAATAGAAATTAAAAAAAAAACGATTTGACTTTTTTTCGACCTTTCCAGAATCATCAAACTCTATTGATGACATACATGTTCATCTTTAATGACTAATTAAAATTTTGAAAGTAATTATAAAAATTTTAGTTTTATAATTCTAGTAGAGCACTACATATTAGATCTTAAAAGAACTAATATCAATCTTCTATTTATTCGGCAGTACAAAAGCGATAAGAAAATTCACAGTGATAGTCTTTGTGATTCTTCTGTACAAGTCATATACTTTTTCGACCAAAATCATGAGTGTTAGTTTTAAATAATAATTTTATGGCTCTTCTTTTCTCCTTTCAATTCTTAGTAATAGCAGTGGGAAAGAAAGCGTTGAAAGGCATCAACAACAAGATTAAGACAGTTCAAGAATATTTCAAAGTCTTCCTTGAAATCGTTATGACTAGAATCAGTTTTCTAATATGGTCAAAATAGCATAATTTCTTATTCTTGCGTAGATTAATGGTTATATGATATATTTATTTGCTATAATCGACATATAACTATCACCAAACATAAACACTGATCACATTGCAACTTTTGGAAATAATCACTTCTAGTGTTTCTAAGAGTACCGAAATAGATAATAGTACCTTGAGACCTGTTGTAGACATAATAGATCTGTTATCAAAAAGATGGTTCGTTTGTTTGATGGTTGATTATTTTTGGAAAGAAACTATCATCTGTTAAACGTATTTCATGTTGATAAAATGAAGTTGAAAAAAGAAAGGTGTATTTCACATTTTGCATATATTAAAAATTTTCAATATCTGAGCGAAAAAAGTCACAGAGAACTAGCATATGACATATTCTGTAGAAAACTATTTGCTCAATCCTTCGATGTGCTCGACTATAAATTATACTGAGACATTCTAAGTACTAAAAAAAACCTAGAGTGTTTCGTTTTCTAGAGTCCTTATCGTAGGAAATCAGATAATAATCTTTATGTTATCGTTTGAAACAACTTCATCTACTCAAGACATTATTTGAATCCTTTCTAGCAATGAAGGGTGTCGAAAAAAAAAATTGGCAATAACCTTTGTTGAATACTTTTTTTATTATGTATAAATCTACTAAATAATTTTATTTAATAATAAATTCTAATATTTATTTTTACTTATTCATATTCTAATGCATGCACGAATGATTGCTTCTTTGTCAACATGAGAATACGACATTCAAGAATATTTTTACGAATAAGCAAATCAATATGTAAAGTACTTTAGCATCTAATTTCAAAAGGATATATTTATTATTCTACCAAAGGAAATACATGAACCAAAAAGTTCTTCATTTTTTTTATGGTGGAAACCTAATTCAATAAAACTTATTAACATAATAATATTCATACATTTAAATATCCTTTCTTTGATTGGAGCTTGTTAAAACAAACTAGGTTTTAATTGAATATACTAACGAACTATGTAATTTTCTTGATTCAACAAGACTTCAACTAAAGCTAAACATAACTTCATATAAATAGATAAGATCAATTCTATATTCTTAATTTTTCATTTTTGAGACTTTTAAAAACTCTTTAATTTTTTTTCTAAATCTGAATTTTGTCTGCCACATATTATACGTATCTATCAATCGTTCATGTGATCGTGCATGTTATTGTTCATGTTCATTTCTTTGATTCTCTTGCTTCTATAAATCATTGCTCTTATTAAACTTGTTAGTTCTATAATTTTCACATGTTAAAAGAAATTCACTATATTCATATTGACTTTCTTTATCGACCGAAGTATAAAATATGACGTCAAAGACCTGCGCTAAAAATACGTTTTTTTTTGAATGATTAATGTTAAGAAGTGTTTCTAAAAACTTCTTTTTCTTTTATTTGTAATTAGATCGATAAATTGTTCTCGAGTTTTTTTTTCTAGCTATAAAATAATTTAAGACAAATTTTACATCTCAATTTCGAAACATAATGATTAATGAGTCAATATAAGAAAGAAGAAAATAAGAAATGATCAATTTATGATTAATGGCATAGATGACATCTTATCACAGCAAGATTTAAAATGTAGATTTGTGTAGTGAGATAAAGTTTGACCATTAATTTATTAGAAATTCTGATTTTTGACTTTGCACTGTGAAATCATCGAAAGCTTTGGATATTAGAAACAAAACCAATGATAATGCTCGTTCGAAATTCTGACGAAAATGATTAAACAAAGAATTTATTATCTTATTTTCTATCTCTTTAAGTCTGATTACATATTATCATAGATTAAAAAAATAAAATTTACTAAAAATAAAAATTATAGAAACATTCAATTTTTAAAACTAAACTGTAATAACCATAATTGATAAAATGAAATAAGTCAAATAATTAACTAATGTTCGATTAATATTCTTATAAAAACTACATGAAATTGAATCAGCACCATTTATTTTTGAATTTATCCAATTTTCAAAGGCAGCTACACGAGTATAAACACCAGAATATTCTGCTTGTGCACATCCAACACCATTACTTGTTATACCAACTAATACCCATTGTTTATTTGACGTAAACATCATCAAAGGACCACCTGAATCTCCATAGCATGTATCTAAAAAAAGATAGACATCCAATAATAATAAAATAGTACAAAGCAAAATAAATTTCATGATATTAACCTTTGTTACCATTAGGAACACCAGCACATAATTGAACTTGCCAATCATGTATCAAATTACTACAAGTGGATGCTTGACGATCGATAATTTTCAAAGAAACTTGCTGAAGACTTGTTGGTGATGAACCACTCTCACTCATAGTACCCCATCCGATAGCTACAACCTAATAAACATACTAACTAAAATAACTGTTCTATACAGAAAAGAATAATTTACTGTAGTATTCACTGATGGCCATTCTTCTGTCATTCGTATTGTTGAATTAACAAAATTTAAACATATAGCACTTAGATTAGGATCACTCATCGTCAATGGAGAAGTAAGATGAAGTAGAGCAATATCATTAACATAACCAACTGAACTATAATTTGGATGTACATAGACATGTGATACCACTCGACTTTGACTACCAGTCCATTGAATATTTGAACCAACATAAATAGAAATTTGAGATGCTGTCGTATCTTTTACACAATGTGCTGCGGTAATTATCCATGAGCTTGACAAAATAGATCCACCACATAAATATCTACCTGCAATAGATATTGATACGGCCCAACCCCATGTCGCTGTACCAGCTGATTCTCCTCCAACAATTTTAGTCAATATTGCTGAATTTCTTGAACATCCACATGAATCACTTGTATTGCATGAATAAACAATTTGATAACTTGATTTGATCAGACTATAGAAAATAATTATTGAGAGTAGCATCATAGTATTACATTGTGTATTTTTCATTGCTTGAATTGATTTGATCAAGATTATATGAATATAAATTCTTCCATGAATATATTTTGACTCATTTCCTTTTTTTAAACTTGTATGATTTTGCTTTTTTTTTTCGTCTACCACTAGAGAATTCTCTAAAAGCAGTCATCACATTTTGTAAACATCAAAGTTATGTTCTAACACATTAACGTTACTTAGAAATTGAAGTATTTGAATCACAGAATGAATCATATATGAAAATACCTTGTTACTATAACAAAATATGTGTTAAAAAATTGATGAAGAGAAAGAAAAAAACCGAAGTATTTTATTTTTTTCATACGAAAAGAGAAAATTGATAAAGAAACACCTGTAAAACTTTTTCAATATGTCAGATCTAAACGTCGTAATTGAGAATCAGAAAAAGCAAGAAGTATTGACACCTCTGAAAAGTAAACACTGTGATTTTGCTTTCTTTGACAAAACTTGATTTGTTTTGAAAGCTGTCTATGTACCAAGAAAGTGTCGCCTTATTCATGGGTTACAATCTCCTAGTTTCGTTATATTTTCTTTTGTTTAATTATTTTTTCGGTTGTGAAAGGTGTGAGATAATTTCATGTTTTATATACTTCCTATGACAGTATTATTGCAAACATATTAAGAAACAATCATGTTACATGATAAAAATATAAAATTATCAGTTATTCGAATTTTTTCTGTAATTATTCGTCTCAATAGCCAAGTCACAGAACAGACTTGGCAAGTTATACGCAATTTGATAACCTCTATTTCATGTCATAATTAGATTTGACTAATATTGAATTGTAAACGAGTGAAAAATAAAAATAGTGAATATGACACATAGAGAAAAGTTTGTACTTTCCGTCACATTGTTGACGATCTATCTGAATACATACGTTACTCATGAACTGTTCATCAAATGATAGAGTTTAGTATTTTTCATCGAATGGTGTACAATGCATGTATGCAAAAATATTTCATAGACTGCAAGATTCTTTAAAAGCCTCAAAAACACGAACTTTACGCTGAATTATTACTTATGATCGGTTCTCCTGTGTTCATACAACCATTGATGAACTATAACATCAATCGATGAAAACTTCGAAAACTCCACCGATAGATGTACCATTCATAAGTGGTCTAAGCATGTAAATAGATATAAAGATAATGGAGTTGCGTATAGCTTAGTCAGTGAGGCGAATCATCACAGAAAACACTTAAATTGATCTCTAACTTGTCTTATATATCACAACTGTCCATTACGATCAGAAACCATTTCATAGACAGCGTAGTATTTGAAAAAATGTTTCGAAAACTACTAACATTAGTGTACTGGACAATCATTGGTCTTACTAACAGATGAGATTCATTTAATCTTAGGAGTTTACGCGTATGGATATTGAAGTCCTGTACATATTCACGCAGTTTTACCATGTTGTTACTGCTATGCATATCTTTGCTATATGTGATACAGCAGAATGTTCTGATACAATAAATACATTTTGTCTTTTCAGCATTTCTCACACGAACTAAGTTAAACTAAAGATTAAAACCATCTTTTTGAATTATGTATCTTAAAATTTCATGGAAAAGAATTTCGAATGAAAAAAAAAACGATGCAAGTCTACTGTTTTTGATTTTTGTTTCTTTATTAATTACACGAAATTTTGTTATTATGAAAGACTGAAAAAATTCTTTCATCTATCTTTTTTGGAATGATAAAAGAAACTTTCTATTCATTTTCCACTCGTCATTAAAACAAGATAGATATATCCATGTATCAAGTATTAATACATAAATAGATAACATCTACGTGCAAAATTTATGATAAAAATAAAAGGATTTTTCCTATTCGGTTTCGTTTTCTTAAATATAAAGCAGTAGTTCGATAGTTTTTATTCATTTGAGTTTATTCAAAACATAGAATACAAGACAACGAAACTCCATACATATCATAGAATTTACTTAAAGGTAAGAAAAAATCCAGTATGAATCAGACAACGAACTTTAGCCTTATGAAAAAATAAAAAAATTTCAATAAACATTTTTTTCCTGATTATATTGTCTAATCCAATTGATCATCATAAGAAATGTTGTCTATCCAGATTTAAATGTATATGATTTAACTTTAGTCTAGTGTATATATATATACATATTCAAATTTTCTTGATTCCTATTTAAGTGTCTCCATATTAAAAAAACCTTGAAAGGAAGTTGATAACAATAGGTTCGTTTTACAGTAGATTTGATAACGCTTATCAAGCATAATGCACCCAGTATTTACAAAAAGAAAAAGGATTTTTGTGTAAGCATACAACAAAACATGCAATGTAATTTTTACAATGTGAAAAAAAAAAACATTAAAAAGTTCGTTGCCTTTGAGGAACAGCATTTTTTGATAATTATTTTTCTGGTCTAAAATAATGTTTTCTTATATAATGCACTTAGACCTATACATTTTCACTAGTATTATTCAAAAGATTTACGAAAAACATAACGATGACAATGGGTTTACTTGAACAAAATGTGTATTTTCATGTAATTGAATTGTTTCACCATATGATAATTATTTTTTTTCGTACACGTTACTCAAAAAAATATGACATTTCTCAACATTAGGTATTCGAAAAATTCAATAAAAACCCTCGATCGAATCACTTTTTTTTTGAGTAAAAAATGGAATACAGAGAGAATTGTATTGTCACCAGGTGTCAACGTCTTTTTCTATTTGAATATTAGGTAGTTATCCATCATATTTTGATCGGAATTTCCACAATATCTAGTTGAACACATTATACGAGAATTATAGGAGTATATGATTATATTCGACATCGTTTTTACTAGATATTATTAACAAATCTTATCTAATATCGTGTTGGATGTGTCCCATTTTGTAATGAATCATATATGTAAATGTAATATTCTCGATTACTTATAGTCATTTTTCAATAACATTCGAATGACTGAAGATAATCTGAATCGAAAGAAAGTTATAAAGCTTATTGCTTAGGCCATATTTCTTAGGACAAATATGGAATCAATATTAACAAGTGGTTGATCGAAACTAATTTAAATTAGTAATGCGTCGCATTTAAGACCAGTTGGCTGACATTACTCTATTTCTTTTTTTTATGATCCTATTAGTCATACTTGGGAACAAAATAAATGTAGTCATTTTTTCAACTTTAAAGCACACGCTCTTTAAGGAATTAAGTCATCACAGAGATATGAACGATGTTTGTATGGACTTGTAGGTAGTATTAGTGTATAACAAAGTCACATTTTACTAAAAAAGTTCAATTAATTTACTGCCATAATAAGAATCTCAGACGTTTAGCAAATCAAGAATGTAAATCTGGAGAGTGATACTAAATGTAAATTTGATTTTTGAAAATTCTCATCGGATCACAGTGTTACTTTATCCATTTTAGATTCAAAATCTTTCATCTTACATATACTTATTATCAATCCATTAATATGGCAACTAATAGAAGTGTTACTGTCGAAAATTTAATTACTTGTGTGATTTGCCGTGAGTCTTTCAAGGATCCACGTCTATTACCTTGTTCGCACACTTATTGTTGGGAATGCATTGAACGTATGGCTTCTGAGAATAAAGACCAATTTGAATGTCCACTACGAGATGGATTTGTGGCAATGAAAGAAGACATCAGTTCATTACCTCTTAATCGAGCAATACGTGATTTAGTAGAATTACACGGTAAGCAAAATAGTTTATAATACTATAAAAATAAATATTGTTTTCTTTTTTCGAAAACCGAAGCTTTTCTGTACATGTATACATAGTCTTTCACATGTTTTTCATATCTTATTGTTGCTTAACTATAGTCATCTTTCAGATTCGGTCCAAGATCTGAATCGGTGTACTAATTGTCACTCAGCTCATGCTATATATGCATGTAACAAATGTGAAAATGAAAACTTTTGTTCATCATGTTATGAAACTGTTCATGCCGCTCCAGTTATGCAAAAACATCAACGTCTCTTCAGTCATGAAAACCCACCGGAAACCATTCCATGTATAACACATCCGAAGAAATCATTGGAATATTGGTGTTCTAAATGCTCGACACTTATATGTATTGATTGTCTATTATTTCAACATAAAGATCACAATTATATTTTGTTAGATGATGCCATACAAGGATTCAAAACTAAGGTTAGCATATGTTCTATAGAATATAAGAAAGTATAATATTGTATTTGTTTTATGATATAGATAAATATTGATTTACAAAGTATTCAATCTTCTTTAAACGATAAAATCAATGAAACAGATATATTATTAAATATAATTGATAATAATAGTAAATTTAGTCGACAAAAAATGACTGAAACTATGGCAGAAATACGTCGGGTTATTGATAAACATGAGAAAGATATGTTACGAAATATTTTAAAAACTGAAAAAGAACAAAAAAAACGAGTTGAAGATTATAAAATTCCCTTGACGAATGAATTGCAACGTCTGAATATGCAAAAAGTGTCGTTTGAAATGCTTTCATCAATGAGAAATCGTACAAAACTATTAGAAGCCAAAGAAAGATTTGATGATTATGTGAATAAAACAAATGAAAAATTAAAATTATTACCAATGCCAACTGTAACTGACTATTTTTTAGAAGGAGTCGATCAATTACAAAGTTTAAAAGAAAAAATTCTTCAATGTGGAAAATATGTTGAAATTTCACGATATCACAATCCGCAACTTGAAAAATTCATTAGTGAAAACGGAAAAAAGCAAGAACTTGATTTAAAGCTTAGAAATTTAACCGATTCTGATATGATCATTGTTGCTGATATGTTACGAAATAGCACGGTACAAAAATATTTCTTAAGAATTACAGCTTTTCTTGAATAGCTCGAAAATAAGAATAAAGACGGAAATACGAACACAGGCGAGACTGATATCTTCACCATATTGCATTCTTCTCATATTCAATGTTTTTGAGAGAGAAGTGTTCTAAAAATATGTTTTCGAGAAGCACGGCTGTCTTGTATTTAAACTTTATAGTTGAACGATTATTGTAGTTATGTCTAAATTAATATAGGAGAATAAGTGTCCATAATTAGAAATCATAACTTTTTGCCTAGGAATATGATGAAAACTTAGTTTATTTTGTTTAAAAGAGCAACAGTTCAACTACTCTGAAAACATAAAAGTGAGATTTATCATCAGATTTTTGCAAAGAAAAAACATTGCAATGTCAAACATCATTAAACAATTTTTTTCTCTTGGCTTCATTTCCTAAAATAGGAAGACAAAAATTCTCGATAATCAAAACGAAGATATTGATCATGGTTTGTGTAATAGTCTCCATCGATTAGCTTACTAAAAATTTCTCTCTATAATAGTTCCACGAAAGAGACACCCTATGATTAATCTTAGATTTGTAGAATGTATTTTTCCGAATAGGATATATGAGATATCGAAAAGTATTTGTCTCATTATTGAACATATGTTAGTAAAGAATAAAAAAAAAATGTTACTTTATAGAAACTGAAATATCTTTTTGAATTATGTGTTAATTTATAATTTCAAACAAATTACAATGTAATTAGTTCATGTTATTTTCTTTCAAAAATAAATAAGAACACGTCTAATTTTGAAGCTTAACATGAATCGTAATATCTTTTCTTGAGTAGGAAAATTCTTCATAAAGCAGAATATTTTTCAAATAGAGATCTTTAAAAATATTTCTAATGATGACTTTTAATTTTTACATTTTTTTTAGAAAAACCATTTTTCAAAGTTTATTTTTTTACGTTATCCAAATCAAAATTAATTGTTCTTGCAAATAGTAAACGATAGTCTTTTGCAATACTTCTTAGGAAAGAATTACGATTAGGGTGATATTGATATTTACTTTCGGATCATACGGTTGTTAAGACAAGCTGTAACAGTTCGTTTAGTAGATCTTATGAATAATGTCATTTATTACATAGAAAAATGAATCTTAGCGATTCTTAATAACTATATCTATACAATAATTACTAGAGAGCACATCAAATTTCCACTAATTTATGACAGCACCTCTCCATCGATATCTATTAATTACAAAAGACTCCTACATGAATTCCATTCAACGTGCTGAAATTTTCATGTCAAAGTGAGTCTGTTCAGCATTTTATCACTACTTACCGACAAAACAAAATTCATTTAAGTTATTCATTAGTACAAGAAATTGCAAAGTACCCGTATCCATTTAGAAATCCTTAATAAAACAATCATTCACGATTCAAGTTTTGATAAAGAATAGGCCGACATTAACGCGTAAAGTTAACTTCTTCTGTTTAAGTTCTGTTCAGTTAATACTTCTTTCAAAATTTATCCAATATTAATACTTTCAGTGATCTTTGTAAACCTTATTATTCATGTTCGTTTTTTCTAATAATATGCAAACAGGAGGTCTGTCTTTAACTCATAATAATGCACTTAATTAATCCGATAAAATAGAGCTCAACAAACAGAAAAATTCATACCTCTAGAATGAAATACGGTTGTCTGTCCGTTTGTCATCAGGTCAAACGTTAAAAAACAAAAGGTTGGTAGAATTTTCCAGAACTTTCTATGAGGTATCATACGACCTGGTTGAAGGTCAGAGGGCAATGGTTACGGATCAACTTTCAATGGTAAAATATTTTTAGAATTTTCTGAGGTTTTCCAGAACAATGTAAAGTTAACAGAATTCTAGAATGTTATGAAACTTCACACAATATAAGAAACTCGGTGAATAGAGACAACAATACATCGTACGAAATATGCACAAGGAAATGAGTGTATACAGTGAGACTAAGAGGTAGAAAACTCCTGCCCAAATGTATGAAACTTAAAGCATTGCGCTTAGAAAAAAGTGCCACGTGCAATATCCGGAGGGGGGAGTCAAGCTACTTACACAATAACTGGAACTTTCTCTATTATTTTCATAGAAAAGATTTATCTGAAAGACTTGCATAGTTGTATCATGGTTTAGTAAGCATAGAAACTTTGACAAGATATGGCTAGACCTTTGACAATCTGCCAGTCTGCCAGATCTTGCTTTATACGTTTCTGCCTTCATACTCGTCGTATGGATGTGTCTTATGTTAGTGTGCTATCGTTCTCAATTTCATTTTCTTCTCTCATTTCAAACAGACACTAATTAAACTCAATCTCCAACAAAATCGAATCGGACAACAAGGAGCTCAATATATTGCTAAAGGTCTAAAAACTAACAAAGTAGCTATTCTCTTTCTATTACCATAACACAATCCATCTATTATTTCACATAGACACTCACTAATTTGAACCTAAAAGCAAATCAAATCCAAGACCAAGGAGCTCAACATATTGCTGAAGCTCTAAAAACTAACAAAGTAGCTATTGTCTTTCCATTACCATCACGTACTCTTCTTTGGTTTCATATAGACACTCACTTTACTTGAACTCTATCAAAATCAAATCGGACAACAAGGAGTTCAACATATTACTGCTGCTTTAAAAACTAACCAAGTAACTTCCTCTTTCCATTCCTAGCACACATACTCCTCTTATTTCACATAGACACTCAACATACTCGGCCTAAGCGAGAATCAAATCGGACAACACGGAGCTCAACATATTGCTGAAGTTCTAAAAACTAACCAAGTAACTTTCTCTTTTTGTTACCATTAGACACTTCCTATTTCATTTTCCATAGTCACTTAGTGTATTATACCTCGGAAACAATCAAATCGGACAACAAGGAGCTCAATATATTGCTGAAGCTTTAAGAATTAACAAAGTAAGTTTCTTTTTCTGTTCCCATCAAAAAGTTCTTCTTTCGTTCCACATAGACACTTACTGCACTTGGCCTCCAGGAAAATCAAATCGGACAACAAGGAGCTCAACGTATTGCTGAAGCTCTAAAAACTAACACAGTAACTATGCTCTTTGCAATAACATCACCCAATACTTCTCTTCTTTGATTCAGACACTCATGGAGCTTGGTCTTCAGAAGAACCAAATGGGAGAACAAGGGGCTCAATATATTGCAGAAGCTCTAAAAACTAACAAAGTCACTATTCACTTTCTATTACCACTATAGATTTCTTCTCTCATTTCATATAGACACTCATCAAACTCGGCCTCAGTAAAAATGATTTCGGACAGAAAGGCATGCAATATATTGTTGAAGCTCTAAAAACTAACCAAGTAACTATCCTATTTTTTATTACCATTACATGCTTCTTCTCTCACCTAACATAGACACTCATCGAATGCCACTTAGACGATAATCAGATACGAGAAGAAATTCTTCAGCGGGCACAAAATTCATTGAAATCGAAGAAAAAGTTGATAGTGTATTGGTGACTTCCTTCCAAATAAATGATGATTTTTAAAATACATTCAATTCTCTATTCAGTGATATGCTGTTTCTCTATATTTTCATGGACGTTTTGCAGCAACCATACTGAAGTTTTTTTTTAATGAAACAGATATTTGTTTGATAAGAAAGAATAAGACTGGAGATTCTCTTCTACAGTTAATCATAGTATGGATATATGAAATTTAGTCATGTTTTACGCATGGTATATGAATAACAGAATTGAAACACGTTGTCATTCATATTGTTGTACTTGAAAGAGAAGCAATAAAGACTAGCGGCGTAAATTCCACAAAATCTGGAAACCTTCAGAAATGTTTAAAGTTTCTCTAAGTCTCATATAGTCTTCACAAATTTCCGAAGTGGAATGTGTCTTCGCAAAGTTTACAAGAAAAGAAAATGAAATTGTCGTTTTTTTTTTGTCATGATGTCATTTTAAGACAAATGTAAAATTATGTTAAGCTTTATCAATCTGTCTGAAAAAGTTTCAAGTAATCTTAATTTAAACATAGTCATTAATAGTTTGACCTTTGTTTTAATAAAATTGCTTAAATCTATCGTGAAATGTTGCAACAATAAATATATTATGAAAAAGAATTTCAAGAAGAAAATTCTTTGACTGTTTTCATTTTATAGGTCGTTCGTTTTGCAATGTACAGAAGTTTCTCAAAGAGACATGTAATATAAAAGTTTGAAATTATTCTTCTTTTACTATAAGCTTTGTTCATAATTTCGTATAGCGTGTATTCATATGCATCATATAGAAGTTTTCAAAAAATTGAGAATATTTACTCTAGCATCTCTATCTGACTTTTTTTACAGTTTACTAGATTTATCAGGATATGTCTATCCAATAGTGTTACTATCCTCAACTGTCATTAAATGAAATATAGGAGATCAGATAAATTGACGTTATTGGCATTAACTACACACGGTTGATATAGTTTTACGAAATATTTGAAAACTAATGAGTATTGATAATCGATTCTATCGTATACAGTAGTAGAGAAATAATGATCAATCAGTCAAATTAAGCGTACACTGGTTAAGATCAAATATGTCCTTAATAAAATCATTCTATCTTCAACCATTCAATAATATCGACATTTTATCTAATCGAGATATGTACTTTGAATTGATTGAATTAATTCAACTAATGTTTTAGTTTCTAAAAGGCTTATATAGTTGTTGTAAACTGTTGCATGTGACAATTTCGAAATGTATTGTATCTATTCTTAATGATAATGAACATCAAGACATATTGAAAAGACAAGATAATACAACGAATGAATTACAATATTTTCAAACAAAATATCTAACTATTCTATCATTTATATTTGACGGTTCAATAATTTTTCGTTCAATTTAAGCTCATAGATATGAAAGTAATAGTATTTCAATTTAACAATTTTCTGAAACACAAATTAAAATTTGTTTGTTTTTTTTGTACTTTGCTCAAAAAGATAATTTCACATAGAAACAATCAAAAAGTACTATTCATTGGTTAAAAAATGCT